AAAGTGTGGAAAGGTGAGCATGGGGGCCTGGGGCTAAACGTAAGGCAGGCAGCAGAGGGGGCCCCAGGGAAGGACCTGTGGGAGGAGCAGAGGCTGGGCCACCACTGGCCAGTCACCGTCCCAGCTGGCCAGGTCCCACCTGGGGCAACAGGGAACTGAGGCCTGCCCCCTCTGACCCCGGCTTCGTTCTGATCCTCCCTGGGGGTGTCAGGTGCGAGGGGAAGGCGAGGGCTGAGTCAGGGAGCAGAGGTCAAGTGCAAGCCAGAGGCTGTGCCCACCCATCCCCACCGGCAGGAGAGGGGCCCGTGCCCCAGGGAGGCCCCAGCGGGGACAGGGCACAGGCAGGCCGGGGACCCTTGGGTCTATGAAGAGAGGGTACTGGGCCCCTTGGGCAGAGAGAGGGGCTGCCAGCTGGTGGGCGAGGAGGCCCCGAGAGCTCGGAGGGGCCGTGTCCCCGGGGAATGGCAGGGGCGTGAAGGTGGAATTCCATGGAGGACGAGGAGTCAGGAGAGAACAAAACAGGACGGAGTCCAACGGAACCAGGTGGAAACGGGATCCGTTTTGGTAACTTTCAAACAAAAGTCCAATTTTTCCTTTTTCACTCGAAAAACAGAACCGGCTGTGGGTCAGTCAGCTCCTGACAGGAAGCCGCTCAGCTCTCTCGTCCCACCCCTCCCCAGCGTCTACTGAGGGGTGCTTCAAGCCAACGTGGAAACAACCCTGGCCCACATGGCCGCCTAGCCTTCCCCTTCCTGCCCCCCCCACCCCGTCCTGGGCAGCGGGGGTGGGGGTGGAGGGCAGGGGAGGCATGGTGAGGGGCGCGGGGCCTGCAAGGACAGCCTGGGCTCGCCCCCGGCCCCCAGGTCAGGAGGAGCCCCCGGGAAGGCGCCAGGCCTGGGTTCCCAGCCCCGGGGCCTGCCTCTAGGCTGTGCTACCTCCTGGCTGGGCAACCAGGAGGACGCCCGTCTCCACAGGGCCTTCCTGCCCTGCCAGGGGGCAGCGGCTGAATGACTCTCCGACTTCTGTCTGCTTGTCCCTCTGCTCTTTGCACCCAACCTGTGGCCAACAAGGGCTCCCCCTCCTGCAGGCTCCCCGTCTGCCTCCCGCCCACCAGGACCGAGGCCAGGCTGTGCCCCTGTGTCACATGGTGTCTGGCCAGTGAGAACTCTCTCAGGGCCCAGAACCACAAGGCCGCCGCCTCACCTCCCGCCAGACGGGCCCGCACCGGACTCTCAGCAGATGCTTAAGGAGGCGGGAAAGGGGGCAGGGGCTCACTGTCCCCAGGGAGGGGAGAACTCTGCGTGATGAGAGTAGGGGGACGGGAGACCCTCCCCAGCTTAGACAGCCCGAGGGCTCAGGTGACGGAATCTGCAGGTGGCGCCCAGGCTGGCAGCCCCGCGGCTCCCGTTGGCCGTGTTCACACTCCCGTGGATCAGAGTGACAACACGCTGCTCCCCGGCCCAACCCCAGCGCTTTCTGGAGTCAACCCCAGAGGCGGTGGCATCAGGAATCTGCATCTCAAAGGCACCATGGACCTCCCTTCGAGCAACAGAGACTCAGGCCGAATGTGCACAGAATGGACGAGCCCGAGGCCGCCCCCCGCTGGCCTGGGCACCGCCCTGCAGGGCTGGGGTACCCGGGTCCTCACGCCCTGTGGCCCTGGTGCCCTCGCCGCCAAGGACCGAGATGGAAGGGATGAGAAGTCCTGGGCGTGGGATCTGTCCGGCTCGGCTCCTGCTCGGTCACAGGGACTGCATCACCCACACCCACTGGGGCCACTGGCACCCGACCCGCTCCTCGCTCCTCGCTGGTCCCACGCCCGCCCGCCGCCTCACTCACCATAGTCCTTCTTGCAGTACTTTTTCATGTTAATCTTCAGCTTCCCTTTGGAGGCCTTGCAGTAGGAATCACAGTCTGCAGGGAGGGAGAGCACAGACAAAACCTAATTAGGCTGGTGCTGACTAGGCCTCGGGCGAGAGGCGGGGCCGCCTCCCTAAATACCCAGAGGCCCTGATACCCCCGGGCCAGGCCGGGCTGCGGCCATTCAGGGCAGGCCTGGCTTCTAAAGAGGCGCTTGGGACAAAGGCCCCCCAGCCTGAGGAATCCTTCAGCCGCTGCCTGCAACCCCCTTGGCCTCCGGGAGGGAGGCTGGGGGCTCCCACTTTGCGCCACCCAGGGCTTCTGAGCCACACAAATTCCCCCGCTCAGAGACGCAAGTGGAGCCTGATTAAAGCCGATAGAGGCCTCATTGTCGCCCGCGCCCGGGTCTGTGTCAGGCGCTGGCTTTCATGGCGTGGAGCCTCTGGCTGGGGTCAGGCCCCAACAAAAGGGGTCACGGAGGAAATTAGCAGCCCGTGAAGTATTAGAAAACCCCTTTGGTGTCCACTCTTCTGGAGTATGCAAATAGAATGCCCCCGAAGACGAGTTCAGTTCTAATGGGCCCTACTGCTGACACAGGGCGGCCTGGCTGCAGCCGCCGGGGAGCACCTCGGGGCTCCCCCAGTCCAGTGCGAGCCGGGCGGGATGTGGAGGGCCCCGGGCCTGGCCAGAAATCCGGCCTGCTTCTCCTGGGGGTGGCCTGTGGCAACCCACCCAAGGCACACCTCCAACCCCCGCCCAGCACGCCCCCCCACCCCCGGCTCCTGCTGCTCTGAGTTGAGGTGGTACAATGCCTTCCCTAGGTCCACGTCTGGCGCCCAGCCCACCACAGAGGCCCAATGATTCATCCCGGCCTCCCGGCACCACCACTTGACACGTTGGATCCCATTCAAGTCTCACAAACATTCCGTGATGGGTGGGTGCTATTCCCATTCTGCAGATACAAAAACTGAGGCCGCCTGCCCAATGCATCCCAGACGCTAGCACCAAGACTGGACCTAGAACCGAGGCTGAGACGTCAAAATGAGTGTCCCTGTGCTTACGCCGTGCTGGGTCTCAGTAAACACGTCAGTCTCTCAGTGGGCGTGCATGTCAGGCTCAGAGCTGGGGACCAGGAGTGGCCCGTGTTCCAGCAACTCCTGGACTGCCCGCGGGAGCAGCCAGGCCGGCCTGGGCCGTGGAGGCCCCCCTGTTCTAGGAGCGATGACAACAGCCTGGGGTGCTGGGAGTGGGTGGGGTGTGTGTCCTGGGGAGGGTGGGAGGGTGACTAAAAAGGTGAAGGGGACACACACGCACACGCAGACATGTAAGTGACTGGCCAGCCCCTCACTGTGCGGAGTAGGAAACTGAGGCCAAGTTAGGGGAAAGCAGTGACTTGGGTTGGGAGCACAGGACAAAGCCAGGGCATGAAGTTGGGCCTCCAGTGCCCAACGCCCCAACCCCTGGCTGAAGTCTGCAGGGGATATTCAGAGATCACCCCAGAGTCAGCCGCTGACCCCATCGGAGGTCGCTGCTTCCTTCAGGGCCTGCAATTCAAGGACGGTGCCTCAAATAACGTCGAAACAGCTCCGCCCCGTTGCCCTGAGCGTCACAGCTGGCCGCTGCCTAATGCCTCCGGAGCCAGCTTCCTGGGCACCCAGTGAGAAACCAGTCTCGGGAATGGAGAACAACAGCCCCCCTGCCAGCTCCCCTGGGTCTGAGCCTTGGGCCCCGCCCGGGGATGCCCTGACCAGGCGCACCGGAGGCGCAGGACCAGTCCCTCCGCCCGCTGGACGGCTGGCGGGTTACTGCAGGAAGAACCTGCTGGGGTGCAGGGCCTGGGGCGTCCTGAGAGCCTGGCCTGCATCTACCATGGCCAAGTCCGAGAGGGGATGGCGGCCTGGGCACCAGATAAGTAGCGCCGTCACCACCATCGTCACCACCACCGTCAGGGCGCTTCACTGCCGGGAACAGCCCTCTCTGCCAGCTCAGGGCCAGATGACGCTCACAGCAAAGCCACTGCTGAGGCTGAACCCAGGTCGTGCGTAAGTCCTTGTGGTCCCGAGTGCGCTGGCCGGGATCCCGCCTGCTCTCTCCACTTAGGGAAGCGAATTGGAATGTAAGTGGTGCCGGGTGACGTCATTCCAGGGACAGCCTTGAATCCACTCTCGTCGCTTTCTGGTTATTTTTCAGGAAAGTCACTGGGCCCTGTTCGTGCTGCACTCGGGTCAGGAGGGAACGGGCACACTGCCTCCTCTGCAGGGTCCAGCACATCCTGCATCTCAGCCGAGGCGACAGCGGGTCCAGAGAGAGCCTTGAGGCCTGTCCACTATTAGCCTCACAGCAACCGGTGAGGCAGGGACCAAATCCCCCTTAAAGACCAGGAAACTAGAGATGGAAAGGTCCCCGGGTGCCCGCCCCTGTAAGCTCTGCCCTGCGGAGCAGAAGGGCAGGTGGCTGAGTCCTGGGACAACCTAGCCCTGCACCTCCAGCTCTCACCTCCTCCCTCCCTCTCATCACTCCCTCCTGGTTCATCTTCAGCTTCTCTTTTCAGAGCCAAGCACCCACCTGAGACAGGAAGCGCACTAGGATGTGTGGCCGCCATCACTGCCTAGTTAGCTGGAGCTCCGGACCCTGCCTGATGAATCACAGCCACCCCGGAACTATCCAGTCTGTGCCTCAGCAGTGGCAGCCACTCACACGGCACCAACGGGGCCCGAGACACGGCCCTCTAGCCTGCCCATCAGCCCCACGTACAGATGGGAGATCCCAGCTGCAGTCTGTGCTCCCGACCCCTGGTTCCCAGCCTGGACCACACAGTGGAATCACCCAGAAGCTGTAAAAACACACGGATGCCTGAGTCCCACCCCGAGACATTCTGACGTCACTGGTACAGGGGGCAGCCCTGAGTGTCCGGGCTCGTAGAGTTCCCCGGTGAGTCTAATGTGCAGCCAGGGTTAGAAGCCACGGTCTGGATCAGGTGTAGCTGTGGAGGAGGGGAGGGAGTCCCCGCACCCAGGACTTGCACAGAGCACCCAGCTGGGCAGGGGAAGGCCAGCCAGGCGAGTGTGGGAGATGGGCGCTCACACAGCAACATGCAGGCTCCTGCAGGACACGGAGCCAGCCTCTGAACGTGTGCAGTTGTATTTGTGTGTGTGTGTCGGGGGGAGGCGGGGGGTCCTATGTCTTTCCTTTCGGTTGGCCAGAAACTTGTCAGGCCAGTGTGCTTCTTGCTGTAAAATGTCCCCTACTCTTCCTATTCGCTGCTTCCAATTTAGTTGTGAGCTAAGGAAACAGGAAGTCATCCCCAGCTTGCCGGGTTGTGTGTAAAGCAGGCGCACGCGGGGCTGGACTAGGACACGCGCTGCTCTCCTGCGGGTGAAGCGAGTGACCTCCGGGGCGCGGACACCGTGGCAGCTCCCTGGCTCTGGGGGTTCTCCGCGTGGGCTGGATTCCCGAGGACTGAGGTCATTGGACAAGTGGTCCCTGGGTAAGGAAAACGTCCCTGCCTTGTCTTCTGTGATCACATGCGCACTAAGCTGCGGAGACTGCTTCGAGATGGACAACCCAGCTTGAAAACGCAGCTCCGACTCCCTCAAAATGGCATCTACTTGGCAGTCACCCATGGAGCCCCTCCTTGTTTTGTTCCAAAATAGCTATAAAGACAATGAAAAAAAAAATGAAAATTCACACTAATGCCAGAAACGAAACTGATAGATGACCCAATGCTGGAATCTGGGAGCAATCTCTATTAATTAAAGGCAGATGGTGGTGGAACAAGCTAAACCTGTCCAGGTTTTACCTCCGGACACAGTTCTTTGTCTGATGAACAGAAAGATCCTTAAAAAAAAAAAAAAAAAGGAAAAATGACAGAGAAACAACAACCAGAAAACAAATGGGCAGGAAGTGGGTGGGGCCTGGTGACAGTGGCCTCCTTCAGGGAGGGAAAGCTGAAGGAAGGGTAGGGACTGGAAGGACGGTGTTTGCAGGAGGTATCTGAACCTGCATTTTTATCCAAGTTATCGATGCAGACACTGAGAAAATCGGCCGAGGAGACAGAAGAATGCCAGCTCCACAGAGCAGGAGTGAACCGAGGGGAAAGGCTGGTAAGAATGAGGAACAGTCCCCTGCCATCCCTCTTGGAGCTAAACAGGAATCCAGCTGTCATGCTAGTACAGGGATCTGTGAATTTTTTTGTTGTTGTTGCAAAGTGCCAAAAGTAAATATTTTAGGCTTTGCAGGCCATACGGTCTCAATCACAACTCTTCAAATTCTGTCGCCATAGCTGGAAAACAGTCATAGAAAATATGTAACCGAAGGAGTATGGCAGACTAAAAGAATTCTAAAAAGACACATCCTCTATGAAATAGGAGAAGAAAGCCATAAGGGAAGACTACGCAAATCTGAAAAGGCCATATGATGACACATAAAGAGCGACGTAGGAGAGATAAAAGAGCTGGAAAAAAAAAAAAAACCTAAAAGCCCAGCACAATTAAAACCCACTCTGGAAGCAGTAAAGAAAAATGGTACTGTAGAACACTGATTCAGAAAATGGAGAATGAATTGGAGCAGTTCTCCTAAAATATAGAGGAAAAGGATAGAGACATGCAAACTATGAAAGAGAAAATGATAAGGGTATAGGGGAAGAGTGGTGAGGTGGCATATAATTGGAAGAGAACTACAGTGGAGGCCAAGTGGAATAGAAACAATCAATGATAGGATTCCTGAGCTAAAGACAGACCTATGTATGTCAAAGGAAAGGGCTTGTTGATTTGTTTTTCATCAAGGAAAAGACACCAACACCTAGACATATCTTTGCAAAACATATGAAATACCAAGATGAGGAAAAAATACATACAGATTAAAAATCAAGAAGGAGAGGTTGGCCTGATGACTATGGCACAATGTCTATGGGTTCTGAAGAGGAAAAAGTTTGTGACCCAAGAATTTTATACCTAGCTGGACTGTCTTGTATGTATGCTGGCCATGATAAACAAAAGGCATTCTCAAGTGTGCAAGGGTTCTGAAAACATTCCAATCATGTATCCTTTTTGAGA